TCTTTTTATATCAGCAGACCCACAGAGACAGTTTGATAGAGAGAGAGAGAGAGAGAGAGAGAGAGAGAGAGAGAGAGAGAGAGAGAGAGAGAGAGAGAGAGAAGGCAAAAGGACAAAACCTGTCGGAGAAGCTTTAGACTCACTGTTGCTGCCGTGGAGAACATCCTTTGAGGAATTCTGAGCATCTGAGAGGTGACTCTCTTTGGTGATAGAGACAAACAAACAAATTCAAAAACGAAATCAGAAGACATTAGAGTAAACATAACCAGGAATTTCATGTGTCAATGTCAATTTAATCTTCTATCAACATCAAACAAAATCATCATCAGATTCTATATATGCAAGATACAAAATTGGTGAAGTCATAGTATTCCACAACTGTGATAGGGGCTTTTCCCAAATTAAATACAAAAACAAACCATAACAACATCAGAAACAATTATAAGAGAAAGTAAATGTACCAAAATAGAAGTTTGCTTGAATCGCATAATCAAAGTCCATTTTAAAGGCACAGAAAGAGACTGAGAGAGAGAATATATGAAGAAGAAACGTTAACAAAACCTGCTGGAGACTGTTTCCTGGAGGAGCGAGAAGGTTTTTCATCTTTTACATCAGTGATAGGGCCTGTTCCTAAATTGAAAACCAAAAAACAAATCATCATCTCCTTCACATCATCAGAAACCATTATCAAACGTCTCCTTAACATCATCAGCGAAATCATCAATCTAATTGAAATTTTCATCTAGCAACTCCACATCAACATCACAAATCATCATCTAGCATCGCAATTGATGAATTCATCATCGGAATCGTCTACATCTCCTAAACGTTCCCTCAAAAAACCCCAGATCTACTCATCTACATACAAAAAAAAAAAAAAGCAAGAGAAAACGAAAGAAAAAACTCAAAACACAACGAAATCGTCAACACGAACCCTAGCATCGAAGAGAAGTAGAACTCGATCATAAATTTGAAGAGAATCGAAATGAACAGCTACGATTCACGAAATTAAACCACAACACACTCATCATCGAAATATCTAGCATTGACGAGCATTGGAACCTATATCAAGAGAAGTACAGATGAAACTGATGAAATTCATCGGAATCCTCAACACATGCTAAAGTTTCTGAGAAAAACCGCAGATCTAAGCACAAAATCAAGAGAAAACGAAATCATCACCGGAGTAGAGATTAACAACGAAATCGAAGAGAAGAGAAGCACCGGAGTAGAAATTAACAACGAAATCGAAGAGAAGAGAGGAGAAGAGAAGAGAAGGGAAGAGAAGAGAACCTGCATCCTTGCTCGAGTTCGTAGGCGCGAAGAGCTCTGGTCTTTTAGCCATTAAAACTTTCGAAATTGAAACTTGAATTTTTGTTGGCTTAAGCGCTCACACTGTGTCTGCCTTTAGTAGGAGGCATTGAAGTGTTCATGGGCCGGGCTTAAAATGTCATTTCATTGAAGTGTTCATGGGCCGAGCTTAAACTGTCGTTACACCCTGCAAAAAAGGTTATTCTTTTTTTAAGTCTCAATTCAATAACTCAACTATCACTCTTTATTTTTATTTCTCTTAACAAAATAAACTGAAAATTTAATTTTTACTGCAAAGTAGACATATAAATTAACTGAAAAATGTAGTTAAACAAGTAATTTAGTAACATTAAAAATATATATATATATATATCTCTTTTTATTGTTAGTTTATTAGTTTTAGAGTCTAAACTTGTGTGATATGGTTAGACAAGTAAATACAAATATATTACATATCTCTATATTTTATAGAGAATTGTTATTTTATAATTAATTATACCTATATCTGCCCTACACAAAAATAACATTTTGGATTTGGCACTGCCTATTATTACAATATCTAATGATTCATAAGCGCCCACAAATAATTATATATATGTATATATATATATATATATATATATATATATATAAAATCCTATTTATTATTCATATAAGAGATTGGGGATCGAAAGCCGTAGGCGACTTAAATGTTTAAACCCCTAATAACTAATCAGAACCAACCCTTATGATATTCTTTTTTGTTGCCAAATTCAAATGGTTAGGTTTCATTATCAAGTGAATCCGTAAATTATTTTACGTAGGCCAATAATATTGAATTTCAAGAAAACTTAATTAATAGTGTTGTACCAAAAAATATAATAAAATAAGAACAAAAAGTGATTTCAAATTGTTTTTTTTTTGTCGACACAAATTGTTTTTATACTGTTAATAGAAAAAGTTTTGAGCTTATAAACTAACAAATATCAATAAATTGAGTTTTTGTCTAAAAACAATGATTAGGGTATGCGTATATTAGCTGCTCATCTTTTCGAGAAGACAATGTAGCGATACAATTCATTATATTGGTTAACAATTCTCTTTTTTTAATGATCATATTGTAGTTTTACACATATATAGAACTCAATTGTGATGGTTCATATTATAGTTTTTTAGTAATCAACTTATTTATCTATAGAAGTGTCAGAATCGATAAACCAACCCAAACTAACTTATAACCCAATGAGTTATGACATATTTAATATTTGTGTGACAGACTCTGTCTATTACTTGCCAATTTTAAGTTTTAGTTTTTTGGACTTTTTACATAAATGTTGTATCATTCTAGTGAGCAATGATAGAAGATTAATTCAGTTATTTTTGTTAAATTTGTGTCTATCTAGTTAATTATCACTTTTAAAAATAGTAAAAAAAATTGAGACATATGTAAAGAGAATAAAAATAAAAAAATTTATGTTCACCAAAAAAATAAAAAAAGTTTATTTTTATAAAATACTATTTCTATGGTCGAGAAAAAAAAAACGATTTTCTATATTTACAACATATTTTAGAATAGTTAAATAATTATATACATCCTACCAGTTATGGATTCTTTTAGAGTTTTCTTTCTCTCACAAAGGTTTCAATTGACTTTAACAAAACCAACGGTAAATGGAGGAAAGAATGAATATTAATAGAAAGATTCAACGAAAGAACATCCAATTTAGATACGTTCCTCCAGATCAAGAGGAGATATTGTACCACCAGAGCTTTATGCTATAATATGCTACCCAAAAAAACAAAACCAAAAAGCTCTTTGGATTTCTTTTCTTCTTACAAACCAAAGAGTAACAGAGAATATGGTTTGTGTCATCTCATGTTGCAGCACTGAGGTTTGCCTGTCAACACCAACTTATCCCACAAGCAAATCATCTGTCTCGGCGACTGATAATGCGCCGTCAAGTAATTCTCTATGCAACCAAACTGACAAAACTTGAGGCTGTGAAGGTAGTCCACCGGTTTTGTACCATTGTTGAATTGTTCTACCCACATTCCCACACTTACATCTTCCATTTTGAACATCTGTATTATCAAGAATGAGAGAAGGAAAAACAAAAAGACCAAAGTTACATAAATGTATATGTTCTGTTTCGAATTGATTAGGAGGTAATGTTGGCTGGTAAAATTCTGTTGCAGCATACCCTTAATTTGTGTTTCTCAAACTCTTTCACTATGAAGCGAGAGATATCGTTTGATAATATGTATCCCGGGCCATTAGCATAAGGTGGATAGTCTTCCTCTGGCCATTCCTGGAAAAACAGATAATGTAACATTAACTTCTGGATCCAATGGAGAAAAAGAACAGATACAATACAATTGATTCTTTAGGCCAAAAGATTATAAGTTTTTACCTCATACGTAACAGCCCATTTACCCTGGCGGAGCGGTTTGTGGTAATAGTTGATGTTGCCAATGTATAGACTTCTATCTGCGGGTGTTCTCTTTGCTTCACTAAGAACCGCATCCACTTGTACAAATGTATCATCATCACACTTCATAATGAATTTAGCAGCAAGTTGATGAGCCTGCAAAACAAAGAACAGAGAAAATTTTTACCGATATTGAATAATTAAAAACACAGCATCAAGTGTTGAATCACGTTCTTAGAATTAGCAAGACGCACCCCATACTCGCAAATTGCAACAGTTTTGAGGACGACAAGGTCATAACTGTCCATGTAGGGGACTATAACTATGTCCCCAAAGAATTCAGCTTCCTTCTTTAGCTCCACATTCACTTCCTTCCTCGAGTGCTGTCCAAATAAAAACATGAGTTAAGCTTGCAATTTGATATGTAAAGCTCTTAACTTTAACCTAGAAGACCAAGATCAGATCACATGTAAACTAGTCTAAACTTACCAGTGCAACAAAGAACCGAGCCACTACTTTGGAAGATTTAACGAGCTTATGTTGCATCCACGACCTTCTCACAGCCATCCTCTCAGCAAAATGGTTACCAGCAGAAAGGATACCAATGAACATATCAACTTGCTCATCAGGAAGTGATGGGGCTTGCCAATTGCTCGATAGCTCAAGATGCCTCTGAGGAGCAAAACTAGGATGTGAGGTTGGGAGAGAGCCAGCGAAAACCGAGTGAACATCTATGTCCCCGTTAATGGTTAGACCAGTAGCATCCTCAAGTGTAAACCCCTTCATACATAAAACCAAAAAACCACGCACATAGTCAACCATCAGTTCAAGTCAAATCTAATCAAACAACAAGTTTAAGCCCAGGCAAAACATTACTTACAGTTCGGTATGGGAAGGATGTGACGTGCTTCCCATCGACACTAACATGATAGCCTTCCAATCCAGCACTAAGTGTAAGCACGAAAAGCTTGTCAACTGTGAATGGAAATGGCCACTCCACAGTTACTTTCTTGCTCCGACCTATTAATCTACTAAGCCACCATGAAGCCGCCTTGCTAGACTCTTCTTTAGATGTAATGCTATCATCCCGGGCCCATTTCTCGCACTTAACCTGACCATCAACTACAGCATTTATCACTGATTAGTATCCCCAATATAAAAAAAAATCAAATTAAAAAAACAGATGAAAGAAAAATGATTTTGAATATATACTAACCAGTCTCTTCATCATCCCTAGATCTCCATCCTTCACATCTTTGTGCTGAGCCCCACTGCATTCTATAACAAGTGTTCTGCTCAATGACAGGCTTACCACTCCAATCACCCTTAAGCCTCGGATTCAAGTGGAGGATTCGAGGTGGCTCTTCTCCTTCCACTGCTTTCAAACCCTGGAGCTCCAACTTAAACTGTGAAACCTTAACAGCTTCATCTCCTTCCTTTAGCATGGATATCTTGGGGTCCTTCTCGGAATGAGCAGCTCGTGGCTTCCCAACAACTGTAATGTGTGATCCGAGAGTTAAACCACATGGGAGCTCCATGAGATTGCCACGTTTCGAAAGATCAGACCCGGTCAAGGAAACAGAGAGAGAGCAGGAGCTGTGTTCCTCAGTCTTCTTCTTCTTCTCCTTCTCCAAGGCTTTCAACGTTTTGCCAGACTCGAGGTCTTGCCATAGCTTTCGACCAACTTCCCAAGCTACCTTAGCGGATTTGTGAAGCTCCACAGACCCATCTCTGCTACTCGGGTTAAACGTTTCCGGGTCGAATCGCAAACTAGATAGGATCGGAGTCGTCCTTCTTAGACCCTGACCCGGCGCTTCCGACTGTGAATCCTGGTAAAGCAGACTCTTGAAGGGTCGAGTCGGAGCTCGCCGCTCTTGTAAATCACGCTGGCTAGTGAGCTTCTCGGGTCGGGTTAACGGATCCTGAGATAAGGAACTGAGGCCGGTTTTGAAGACGAAGGGGATTTCGAAAGTGATGAGGAGCATATATAGTAACCCAACCGCCATTAGTATCTGAACCGATCTCTGTTTGCTAAGGGCGACGAACATATCGAATTTTTCTAACCTCTCGAGTTTTGATAACTTGGGCTTCCTCATTCCGAATTTTTTTTACTGGAAACAGAAACCCTAGTAGTGATGATGATCAAAGATGAACAGAACCTCCAAAAATTCAAAATTTCAAAAGAACAAAAAAAAAAATCAAATCTTGGGAAACCACGATGAATGGGAACTACATAAAATCGGAGAATTAAAAAAGGTTTCAATCTAAAAACCCTTGAAACACGACGAGACAATTCAAGAATTTTCCTAGTAAAAGAATAATCTTTGGGTTAGAAAATTCAAAACCCACAAGAAACGCTGAAATTAAAGAAGAAAAATTTAAAACTTTTAGAGAGAGAGAGAGAGGGAGGGAGAGAGAGGTGTAATCGTGTGATGAGCAGAAACGCGTCAGTAAAAATTGATTGGGAGAAGGAAGCAAGGAAGAAGAGA